TATATATATATATATATATTGTAGTTATGTGTATATGTGTTTTATTAATTATAAATAATTTTATTTTTAATATATATATATATGTATATATATGTGAATTTATATGCATATATTAATTTAAATACATGTAGATGAATATTTGGACATTTAGTAATATTTTTGAATGATGAGTCAGCAATTTTTTGCTGAGTCAACAGTTTTTTTTGCTGAGTCAGCAGTTTTTTGCTGAGTCAGCAGTTGCGTTTCTTTGATTTGGAAAAAATTTAAAAGTCTGGGTATTTATGTGGGAGTTTTGGAAAGTTCAGGTATTTATATGTCAATTTTATAGTTCGAGTATTTATTTGGGATTTTTGTAAAAGTTCGGGTATTTTTATGTGATTACCCCATATTATTATTATTATTATTAGAGAAAATCCAAAAAAAATATTAAACTACAATTTCGACAGAGAAATACCGGACTTTTGTTTTTGTCAAATAAATATTAAACTTTTTAAATGAGTTTTAAAAAATACTAAACTTTTTTATTGATCTAAAAAATATATAAAAATTTTATGCGATTGTAAAAAATACTAAACTTTTTAAATGATTCAAAAAATACATGAACTATATATAATAGTAAAAAAACAACGACAATAATTTGACGTATTTGCATTTCTTTATATCACATAAACTCATTTATTTATTTTGGCAATGATAGAAGAGTTAAATATTTTTTTTGATAAATTATAAAAGTTAAATATTTATTTGACAAAATCAAAAGTTTAGTATTTTTTGGTTAAAATTGAAAAGTTTATTGTTTTTTTTTTTAATTTTCTCTCATCATCATCATCATTACTATTTTTTTTTGTTAACGGCGGGAATCCAATCATAGCCTTTCGGACGCGGTGATAAACTTCTCGATTTCACGTAATAACCTACAAACCACGTAGAACAGATAAACCATCCAAAGAGTGACAGACTCGTTGGAGAGTGGAATCGAACCCATGACCTTTTGGAGAATCATGAACCCTTTAACCACTACACCAGACCTCGAATGACATCATTATTATTATTATTATTATTACTACTACTACGATTTTCGCTTTGCTTTTTGTGGAAATTGGGGATTTTGTGACATATACATTGTTTGGTGGATCATTCTGCATTACTAAAAAAATTGTACGAATAAATATACGATTCTTTCTATAATTTTATTGTTGTTGTTGTTGTTTACACTCTTTTGTAGCCCATTATTGTAATATTTCACAAGTTTTGTACGGATAAATATACGATACTTTATTTCTTTTTTTGTTAGTGTTGAATACAAGCATAGGTTTTTTGTTTTTGTTAATATGGTGGAGTAGATCGACGAATTTGTTGGATAAAATAAGTATGTTACGTTATATATATATATATATGAAAAATAAGTATGAGATTAATTAATTAACTACTCTAAACTAACTAAAAATTACAAATATATATAAATTACGAGAGTAGTTTTTAATGGTTGGTTATTTAAAATAGCCCAAATGAAAAAAAAGTAAAGGCCAAAAAAATAATTTTATATTATTGATTCTTATAACAGGCATAGGACTAAAATTATTATCTAGCTTATCAATATTTTTTATTTGATAACCTATTTTTTTAGAATTTTATGAATATTCTATATTCATGACAATTTTAGAATAATATTATGATAACATAATATTAGAGATGGATATTTGAATATATATATATATATATAATTAAATCGAATTGAAATTATTTATATTTAAAAAAATAGTTAGTTATAATTATGTTAAAACTTTAAAATTTAACAGGAAAATAACAAAAAAAAAGTTCATTAAAAATTTAAATTAATATAATTATTTTTAATAAAAATCGGAAATACAAAACTTAAATATTATTGGTAAATTATTTATTCACATGATTGAATTTTTTTGTGGTAACTTTTAGATTAATTAATGCAGTTGGTTTAACATATAATAAGGTGGGAAAGGAATCAATTTACATGTTGGATTTCTATTAATAAAAAAAAAGGATAAAGCTATAACCTTATCCATCATTTATCAAAACCATGGGTATTGTAGGGTTTGTTAAAAAACACAAAAAAATTATCTTTTGAGAAATTTTATATATATCCTTATATCGAGCTGTCTTTTGTTTTCAACCCTTACACTGAGTATTCAAAATTAATATATATATATATATATCGAGCTGTCTTTTGTTTAAATCACGTTGACGGGCTTTTCTCAAAATTAATCTCAAACTTTTCTCAAATACAAAAAAACCCTTATACATACATACATACATACATACACGCGCACAGGCATACATACATATATATATATATATATATATCAGGATGTGGAATAATGTTATTGTTAATTATTATTTGAAAATCTTAAAGTTATTAGGATATATAGAAGAGATATAACGAGCTTAAGTCTATAAAAAGCAGTTTCAGGCTTTAGCATTTAATTAACAACCTTTTTTTGTTAAAATATTTAATTAACAACCTTCGTTATTAATAGTCCTTTGCCTTTGTCAACGCAAACCTACAATCATGAGTTCGACTCTCTCCATTCAAAATTTTAATTTACCTTAGTTTTAGTGCTTAATTATAAACCTCTTTTTTTTATTTAATGATTTTTTCTTAAATTTATAAATATGGCATATAACTTTTTTTGTACATACATATATATATATATATATATAAAGTTCATGCGATTATGAAATATGATGAATAAGGGCTAATTAATGCGAATTAAATATAGTTTTGAAAACATTTGTTAAAGATAACGAGTAATCAATGATGAATTAACGGGTCCAAATATTAAGAAGAGGAAGGTGGGTTGGTGAGCTGCCGTCATACGAACACTTGCATGCATGCGCATGACTTTACCCGTCGCGGTAGGCGAAGCCAACGTTCCATTTACTACGTATATACTTTAATATATACATATATACAGCGTCTATGAACATGTTCAAAAGGTGCGATAGAATAAGATTTCAAAATTTATGGGACCCCTTATTAATTATTAATAATAGAAAATAATTAAAATTAATTATAAACTGTAACAACTTTTGTTATTATTAATTATCTTTTATTTATTTGACAAAATCAAAAGTTTAGTATTTTTTGGTTAAAATTGAAAAGTTTATTGTTTTTTTTTTTAATTTTCTCTCATCATCATCATCATTACTATTTTTTTTTGTTAACGGCGGGAATCCAATCATAGCCTTTCGGACGCGGTGATAAACTTCTCGATTTCACGTAATAACCTACAAACCACGTAGAACAGATAAACCATCCAAAGAGTGACAGACTCGTTGGAGAGTGGAATCGAACCCATGACCTTTTGGAGAATCATGAACCCTTTAACCACTACACCAGACCTCGAATGACATCATTATTATTATTATTATTATTACTACTACTACGATTTTCGCTTTGCTTTTTGTGGAAATTGGGGATTTTGTGACATATACATTGTTTGGTGGATCATTCTGCATTACTAAAAA